AGGATGTATTTTTACTGAAGTAATTTGAAAAGCATTTCCCAGCCCCCCTGCTAAGATCTGTCTTACACTGACAGAGTCCAGCACATCAGACTCTGGGTATGCCAAACAGAAAGAGAAAGAAATGACAATGGGAACTCATAGTGAACCTCAGCAACTTTGAGCCTAAAAATTGTATTTTCAGGTTCTTTGTTTAAAAGCACTGTTTGTGTGTGCTGTGACTAAGTATTTGAGTCTTTAGTGGTGCTTTAGGCAGATATGAAGGGCCATCTTTTTCATGAGTACGTATCAATGCAAGTATTCAACATGACTAAATTTTCTAAAATAGGATAAAAGTTACCCTGAGAAAGGATAGAGGTTGCTGAGTGCTGCTTTCAGCCGGGTACAGCAGCACCAAAGAGTGTCCCGTGTCGCAGTGCAGACACCTTCAGTGGTCAGAGTGTCACACGGTGGCCCTTCAGGGACAGGAGCTGAGGAGCAGAGGATTTGAGGTGGCACTGCCCTCACAACCCTCGTGCTGTCTCTGCTGCAGAACCCTCGGCTGCTGGACGATGTCAGCTTCCACCCCTGCGTGCGGTTCAAGCGCTGGGAGTCGGAAAGGATTCTCTCCTTCATTCCACCGGACGGGAATTTTCGCTTGCTCTCCTACCATGTCAGTGCTCAGAAGTAGGTGATGAATGTAGTGCTGTGAGTTATGAAATTTGGATCTTTCTGGCCAGGGAGAGGATAAAAAAAAGGGAACTTTTAAAGATCAGGTGGTGTGTTGTGCCAAATGAAGTAGAGGGGCACGATAACTTGCATTTTTCCTTTTATAAAACACGTTTTCTCCTTGTTTGGAGCAGTGATTCTGTAATTTCTTTTTGGTCAGCCAGCATTTTTCAAAGACTAGTAGCAGACAAACAAACTAGAGAGGGAAGGAGTTAAGCAGTAGGGAGTAATCAAGCTGTTGATTTCCCGTGCTTATAAAAAGCTTTTAGAATAAAACAAGGTGAAAAGAATTGTAATTAAGACTTGAGAATGGGGTTCCAACTTTGCCCTTAGACCAAGCAAACGGGTGTAGGATTTCCTTCTCTGTTAAGGAGATTGGTTCCCAATGTTCTCAGTGCATCGGGAAAAGCAAATACGAAGGCAGGAGATGGACAAGGACTTTCTGTCTCTGTTCCAGTCTGGTGGCAATTCCCGTCTACGTGAAGCACAACATCAGTTTCCGTGACAGCAGCTCCCTGGGGCGCTTCGAGATCACCGTGGGGCCCAAGCAGACCATGGGCAAGACTGTGGAGGGAGTGATGGTCACCAGCCAGATGCCAAAAAGTGTGTTAAATATGACCCTTACACCCTCTCAGGGAACACATGTCTTTGATCCAGTTACAAAGGTGAGAGCAGAGGTAGAAATTAGACACTGGGGTTTTTTTACTTTTTAAGAAAATGCAGTCGAGCTGTTCCTGCTTCCATGGACATTTCCAGGAACACTGCTTTGCTGAAGGCAGGATCCTTTTCTGGGATGGGGTGCTATCTTTTCTTTTTCTGAACAATTGCATACTAGAAGTTTCCTCAATCCCCACAACAAATAGCTGGGTGTCTGAGTGGATCATAGTTCTGGTTATTTGGTGTGTGAAGCAAATGCCAGCACTGGTATTGTGTGATGGCTCTGGTGGATGCCTTACAAACTTCTGCATATCTGGTTGTCATGCCTGGTGCTGCATGTTAGACTTGGTCCTTGGCAAACACTGAGGGTTTTGGTGGGTTTTGATTTGGTTTGGGGTGTTCTGGTTTTGTTGTTTGAGTTCATTTAAATTTAAATCTGATGGGCTTGTCCATGGGGCCTTTAGCACAAGTAGTGGAAATATCATTCATGGAAAGCTTTGGGGAGGTATCTGCTCCTTAAGCCTGTGTCTGTCCAATATGTGTCTGTCCAATATGAAAGGTGAGGTACTAAGAAGAAAACATTTTTCCCAAAGAAACACTAAAAGCTGTCACTGAAAGGGGACTCTTCTTTAGAGGGTGTTACAGCATTTCTGTTTCACTGCTGAATTTTCTGTTCCTTTCAGTTACTGTCATGGGATGTGGGGAAGATAAACCCCCAGAAGCTGCCAAGCCTGAAGGGCAGCGTGAGCCTGCAGGCTGGGACATCGAAACCAGATGAAAACCCCACCATTAACCTGCAGTTTAAAATTCAGCAGCTGGCTATATCTGGTAAGTGACTGTCAGGTAAAGCAGGGGAATGTTCTCTGCTGTGCCAGTGCCCATTCTGCAGGTAGCTGAAGTAGCTTTGCAGGCCTTCTACAGTACATTCTACCTGAAACAAGCAAAAAATTGTCTGCTTTGACTACAGATACATGGATTTGTTCTCTCTGGTGCTCTGTGAAGCAATTCACCTACATTTCCTTGCATTTGCTGCTTACAGAGCTATAAAGAATTTTAGGGTATGGATGTGTTTGTAAAGAATGATTCTGACATTAGGCAGTTGTCAGCTTTTCTCTATTCTGTTTACTGCTTGCTAAAACTTCCCCCTGTGCTTTCTGTCCCTCTCTCTTGAAGGCCTGTCTGCTTTGTTTGTGGCAGCACCAGTCTCATGCTGTGTTTGTTTGCCTGTAGGACTGAAGGTGAATCGCTTGGACATGTATGGGGAGAAGTACAAGCCATTCAAGGGGATCAAATACATGACTAAGGCTGGCAAGTTCCAAGTGCGAACCTAGAGGATCCTGGCAGCGAGGAAGAGCACTTCTCCTTTTCCCCTGTCCCTGGCTGTTGGATGCAGCCTCTTTCCCCATCCATCTGTTTAGGGTTGCTCCCTTGCCTGTAGTAGCATGAGCAGGAAAGCAAGTGCTCAGACTGCTGGAAAGCAGGGGAAAGTAAGGCTGACCTGAAACAACCTCATCTCTTGGAAGTCTTTGGAATAATAGCGGATGGGAGAAGTGTTCAGGTCCCTTGGGATTACTGAGTCAGCTGTTTAAGCTTGTATCACCCTCATTTTGCTGTCTTAGAGGAAATTCCAGGTATTTATTGCCTTTTGTATCTCCTCTTCCTTGTATTTTGGTTGGCTTTTATCCCTTTGTAGATGATCCAAAGTTGAATTTCCACAAACTTCAACTCCAGTGTGAGGATGAGCACCTGCCCTTCTCCATCACTGTGTGTCAGGGTGCAGAGCTGTATAGTTCTTGGCAGCAGGGAAATCATCTTGCCTCTCTGCCTCAGAGGGGCTGGAGAAAGTGGAAGGGTAGATTGTTCCACCCAGGATAGCTGGTTGAGAAGCCTGAGGTTGGGGATGGTGCCACAGAGGGAGGAGTGGAAGAAGTGGATGCTTCTTGCAGATACTTCATAAGCCTTCTTGGTCGTTAAGTATCTTAAATCTCTGAACACAGACTTGAAATGCATTCAAATCTTGTAACTGGGGTGTGGTGGCATCTCAGTGTCATTCTGCTTCTCTGGTTATTTTATCAGTATTTGAAGGTAGGAATTCTCCCAGCTGCCTTGGGGAATCAGACAAGACAGGGAGGGGAATTTTTGTGAGGACACAGCACTGATGGAAATTGCAGCTGTGAGTAAATGAAGATAATCACTGTCCTATAACTTGTTGGAACCTCTCTCTGCCTCTGCTTGCCTATTGCAAATGAAGGCTGTTCTCCTGCTCACTGGTGTCCTTCTTTGACATAATTGTGACCTGGTACCTTCGTAGTGTTCCTGCCTGTCCTACCTCATTCCAGTTCCTGTCCCAGTCAGGTGCTGTGGATTCAAGGGTTGCCCACTGGGACCATCTCCTGTGCAGGAGCTGTTGCTCCATGTGCCCACCCCAGCCTGTGGTACCTCCCTGTGTACAGCAGAAAGAGGAGATGGGAGGCACCTGCACTGTTGGTGGTGTCTGGAACAGGCTCCTTGGCCACCACATGCCAGGGTGTTTTCCCTGAGGGAGCAGAACTCGTCCCTGAGCTGCTGTGCTGGGACCACACACGTGTGGCTGTGGAGTCCAGCATGGACAGCCCCTAAAGGAAGGGTGGCATCCATGGGGGGGGTGATGGAGACTTGAGTGGGTGAGTGGCATCTTGCCTGTGGAGCTGCAGGTTCCAGGGCTCCAGAGGAATGCCAGAGCAGGTGGCATCTGCTGAGGTGACATTACTGCTGAGCATGTTCGGTGCAAATAAAACCTTCAACGAGGGCATCAATAAAATTAATTTTTACATGTCATCTGTGTCATTTCAGTGTGGTTTGTGCAGGCTTTACAAGAAATATGGTTGGTATTTGAGGAGGAAGGTAAAGTATGCCAATTGGACTGTGAGTAGTGGGTGCCTGAGGGAGATAAATGTCTTTATGCAGTTGGGATTGTAAGCCAGGGACTAAGTCACTGTCTGACAAGCTAAAATTCATTACTTTCTTGGTAATTTTTCTTAGTGTTTCCCAAAAGGAGTGCTGAGCATTTCCTGGAACCTCAGTGAAAATCATGTCTTTAGGAGTGCAGCTGAACCATTTTTGTTTACTGGGTAGCAGGCTCAGGGTAGTGCTTTGATTATAAAGACAATGAAATACCTCATCACCTCCTGCTCCTCAAGTACTGATCCTGTCCTCTGGCTTTGTAGCTTTGTTTTTTAAAGGATCTTTTCTGCCCTGCTGAAGTGATTCGTGTTACTCAAGGTTTGTTATGTACATTAAGGCATCTGGCCCTTGAGCCAGGCTTTCTGTATCAGTCTGAGATGGCTGCAGGGTCCTGTGGGATGAAAGGTGAAACAGGGCAGAAGGGGGAACAGGGGAACAACATTAATGACATGAGCTGGTTGATAGAAGGACTTTTGGGGAGGGAACATGAGGTGTAGCTGTGTACCTCAGTCACCACAAATGCTGATGCTGACCTGGGTTCTGAAAGACCTTGAATATGACAACAGCAACTGCAGAGGCAGAGGGAAGCAAGCAAGCAGATGGCAGTGGCTATTCTTAGACCTTGTCTAAAGATGGTGCTGCTGTGTCCTGGAAGAGGACAAGCAGGGATAAAAGCAGGATAAGAAGTGGAAAAGTTGATGTTGTAAAGATGGAAACATTTTATTGGTGGCTGTTAGGTCACATTGAGTTCAAATATTGTATTTAATAGACTGTTTGAATGGCAAAACAAAAGTGTTCCTGAGGACACTTACTTGTGTTACTCAGTGGAATGGTTTTGGCTGTTTTACAGGCTGCAGGTATTTGGCAGGCTTGGGAATGCCAGGATAGTGAGGCACAAGAGCACTTGGAAATGGGTGTAGGGGAGATGAATGGAAATTTAATTTGTATTTTTCTCAACATTAATATTTAATAAAATGAAAATATCAACAATAAAAAGAAAATTTACACCAAAACCCTGAACTGTGACTCTTCATTAAAAAACATCTTGGGGGGTTTTTTCCCCATCCACTGTTGTTGAACTGACTGGACTTACACCACCATTGCTCTGAGGGCATTAGAGACCATCTCTCTGAGGGCATTTTCTAAGCTGGTAGCTGGAAGATCACAGACCCTTTGTAAAGTTGCCATTTACAACCCCCTTTTACCATCCTCGCCATGTCTCTGTACTTACATAGCAGGGTTCTGTATGTGACTGGGTGCTGTGCTAGTCTGTTCTCAGTAAACATTTGGAGTTAAAATGTTTTGAGTTTCCCAAGTACAAGAGACTGGTGTTCTGGCTGCAATTGGTACTAAAGCTCAAACTCCTTTTGTTCCCTTAGGATAACGTTTTCCTTTTGTAAAACAGTAGTTACACCTGCTTTCTCTTTATAAAGCAACTGGACAAAGGAGAAGCTTTCAAAGGCTTCACTCCTGGGGTGTGCACAGATGCCACTCAGTGTCACATGGCAGCTGCAGTGCAGGGCAGTAAAGCTGATTACTGAGGGTCTGGTTCATGGGGATTGGTTGTACCTGCCCTGGCTGCTGCTAAAGGACAAAGGCAGCCTTGTGACATGTGATTTGGCCTTTTACTTGTGGATATAAATCTAGCAGGCACTTAAAACTGCTGCCATTACACTTGTCCTTTGTTCTGCCCCACTGCACTGAAAAGAGAGCTTTTGCTTTCATATCAGATGATAATGCACAGAAATTTAATAGTCAAAAAGTATGCACTGATTCTGTGGCAGATCAGGCTGATGTTAATATTTTTACCTATTCCTTTACCAGGAGGAAAAGCAAGTGGGGGAACAGAATGTCCTAACAAGCATGCCACCCTGGATTTGCTCAGAGAGTTTAAGCTCAGACTTGGTTAATTAATCAGTTCCAAACTGAAAAAGCAAGTAGTATATTGATCTGGAAATAAGCAGCTCATGCCTACAGCTTTGTTCTTTCTATTGGAGTCGAGCTGAAACCAGCTTAAATTACCCAAGTCAAATGTTATAAGGACAGAGCTTAAGTCTGACTGGAATGTCTTCCAATTTTACAGCCAAGTAAGGAGGGAAATGAAGTTTTCAGGAAATTAGATCTGTCCTCTTTGCCTTCAGTTTACACCCATTTCCAAAACAACATATCTGCCTCAGGGATGCATGATGTTCTCTCTTGGCTTATTCTTTTGGCCCAAAACTAATTTTAAATTGTACTCATGTGATTTGATGCGAGTGGAAAGCTTGGGGATGGGGGGGGAAAGGAGGATGAGTTTCTGATAACCTGTAATAAGGACAGGAGGGTAATTTGGGAACGTGCCCTTCTCACACACTGCAGTTTGTCTTCCCGTTGCACTGAAAGTCACGAGCCTGTGGACAAACAGGAAGCCCTTGAAGTCCTCAAGGCACCAGAAGGAAGTTGTGAGGGCATGGCCACGAGACTGCAAAGAGTTCATGTTTCTTTCTCAGGGTTTCGTGGTGTCCTGGATCCAGCCCAGGTAACGATTCACGTTTGTGTAAACACCAGGCACGTCCCTGCGGCCACAGCCAATGCCCCAGCTGATGATCCCAACCACCACCAGCCGCTCGTCCTCCGGGCACACCAGGGGCCCTCCCGAGTCGCCCTACAGAGAAGCAGCAGATTAGTAACAATTTCCTTTTCTGTTTGTTTGGGTTTGTGCTGGTTTTTCGCTCCCACTGTCTTTAGAGGTGCACCAGTGTCTGCAGAAAGGCCCTGTGCAGTGTGCTCACAAATCAAGAGCTCTCAGGAACAGCACTTTTACAGAAATCACTCTCGTGTTCCAGATCCCTCAATGCTCCTCGTGGGGAGAGACACAAAAGAGATGTAACAGTGAAGTGTTTAACTTTGTATGGTGCTCATTTATGAAATGTAGGTGAGATGCTGATAATAAGAAAAAGAGGAAGGCTGTGTGTAACAGTAAAGCAAAATTATTAAAGAGCTGTTCCAGCAGAAAGGATGTGGAGTGAATGCATCCTCTCCTTTTTCCTCATGTCATAGCTGCTCCTTCTCCACCATCTTTCAGCCTTTATTTTTCTTTTCTCTACTTTTAAGTAGAGAGGCACCTCTTCCTCCTCCAGAACCTCCTGCTGAGTGTTTTGCATGCTCACATAACAGAAAATATTAGGAAATGCTGGGGTGGATTTTCCTGTTCAGTTTTGTGGAATTTCCTGTATTTGGGATTTTCAGCCTGTGTTGCCCTGGTTTGATTGGCTAAGTTGTGCCCTGCCTTCCCATCCACAAGGGGCAAGGGAAGGAAAAAGAAAGAGGAGCCAGCAGTTCTGTTCTGTTCAACAAAAGTCTACTGGAACTGCCACGCAGGCAGATGCACAACTCCTTTAAACTATTTTCTGAAGCTTTTTGTTTGCTTGGCTCAGACTACCAGGGGCAGAGAAAAGAAAGGGGCAAGGGAAGGAGAAGAGGAACAGAAGGGGGTTTACCTTGCAGGCATCGTCAAGGTTCCTGGTGTCTCCTGCACACAGCATGTTGTCGGTGACCGTGCGGTTGTCCAGGAGCTGTGCCGTGCACTGGCTGGCCGGGAACAGCCGGACACGGCCCTCCTTCAGCTGCTCCGAGTAGAATGGAGAGACTGGCAGGGACACAACAGGATACTTACACACCTCTGGGTATGCACACGCAGGTTTTAAAAGCATTGCAGCTCAGTTTCTGCAGCTCAGAGGAGCGTAAACAGAAGCAGCTCAGTGGCTAAACCAATATTTCCTTGCCAAAGGGTCTTTTTTATATCTTGGGTGTTCCACTTTGCCAGTGAGAACAGCTTAAATCTGACTGAGGGAGAATATTGTTTCTTCAGCAAGCTTTAGCAAGTTAAAGAGGTTTTTCTAGGCTCCAAATTAAAGGCTTCTGGGTGGGTAAGTCATCTTTGCACAGTTACATCAATCGAAATGAAGTCACAGGAAGTGCCTATGAAAATGCCTTAACTGTATGAAACAGGGTCCTAACTTTTTAATATTAGACTTGCACTAACAAAAATCTGATGCCTTGTCATACACAATACTGAGTAACTGGATAGGAATTTACACTTAGGTTGGAATAGAAGAGATTTGGGTGGTTGGTTTATGTGCAGCTGCAATTGCACAAAATTGAAAGTTGGCAAGATTGTTGTTATTCAGTCTAGTTTTGAGTTACAGTTGCAGCATCCTGCCCTCTCAAAGAGTTTATCCTGTACTCCCTCTAAACAATGCTGAGGACAAGCTTTAAAAGCACTTTAAAAATCTGTAACTGTATGGTACACCAAATCTTGACAGGAAGGGATTTCTGTCCAAACTACAATATCTAAATGTACTGAGTACAGCAGAGATGTGGCAGCTGTGACTGAAAATCTGCTGTCTTTCCTGTCCTATCCACTGTGCCAGGTTTTCGGTTTTGTATTGTAGAGAGTATCAAGGAAGACTCTACTGGCCCATACAGCTGACAGAACTCAGATGAATGAAATAACTGACAGCAAAACTTCCTTTTGAGTGACTCCTACTTACACATACATTTTGTGGTGTTCATATAAGCCAGTATAATACATTAGACATTCAGTAAGGCTAAAGGCTTGAATTCTTTGATGGCAGGGGACTCAAGCTTTGGACAGACTATTTTCTACTTGCATGTAGACATTATCTTCTACTTACATTCCTCATCTTTGCCATAGCCAGAGATCTCACACTCGGTCCAGTCAGGCAGCTGCAGCCCTGGCGTGGGGAGGCAGGCAGCTCGCACGGTGTCTGTCTCAACAGCACAGGTTCCTGCATCTGAGCTCAGCTGCAGCAGAGCTGAGGAGGGAGAAAACAATCCCCACTTCATTAACCACTATTAAACTTGAGCCAACCGTGAGCTTTCCAGCCACAAGGGCAGAAAAGTTCTTACCAATATCATTGTTGAAATTTTCTGAGTCAAATCTCGGATGGACAATGTAGTTCTTCACTCGAAACTGTTGTTCATTTTCCTCGGGAGTGGCTCGGGAAGTCCTACCCAGCACAATCTTCAGCTGATTTGTACTAAAGCTGGAGAACAAGAGAGTCTCTGTTCTTGTGTTAACTAGAGGGGACCCATCCCTTCGAGATGTCTAGTTGGAACTTCTGCTTTTCTCATTTTAGCACTATTACTACTCTGTTACCCAGGCAGCTTGACCTCAAGTGACCTATTTGGCTTCATTTTTGTGCTATTTGCTTACAGCCATCGTGGCAAAGCTCCTCTGCCAGCCCCTTGCTGTTCTCAAGTTTCAGATGGCTCTGCATGTGTATTGACAACTTTGTTCTTCTGCTATTTGATATTCTGCTGTGGTACCTTAGTGCCATGCTGCTAGTTTGCACAATAAATGCCTCTCTGTAATGCTCAGCACGATTAACTATAATCTTTAGTGCAGACTGGCTTACTGGGATAAAGAGGGTTTTTCCCAAGGCCGCACTGGACGCTTCCATTTCCCAGGTTTTATTTTTTTCCCCCAGAGAGTGCTGAACCCTCAGCTTACCGTTCCTCAAAGCAGTGAGCAGCGGACAGCACCCAGCAGGAGCTGATGAGGGTGCCCCCGCAGAGGAAGTGCTCCCCGGGCAGCCGGCGGTAGGTGACGAGGATGGCAGCCTGCCAGGGGTGAGCCGCGATGTCGGCGGAGGAGCCCCCTCGGACGCGGAACTGCCGGGCCCGGCGCTGCCGCACGCCACAGCTGGCTGGGGATGACAGACCCGAAACAGGCTGTTTGTGCCGGCACTCGGGCTCTGAGGTTGGGTTAAGAGCCTGTTAGTCACCGGTGCGTGTTGAGGCAGCCTGCTGTGAACTGTTTAGTATCTGACTCACTCCTGTTTCCTAGGAAACTTGTATTCGGATTTGACAAATACAGTAAGGAAACCCTGCCTTTCCTGTCCTCCATTTCTGCAGTCTTCCCTTCTGGCAGAGAGAAAGGCACTGCTGTGAGAGTGGAGCTACAGAATCTTTCTACTCCAAAAAGCTCTTTTTTTTTCCCTCCAGCTCTTATTTTACTGTAGGAGGTTTGAGTTTAATACAGATGGCATGCAGGACTGTAGTGCCTCAAAGACAGAGAAGAATCAGCAGTGCTAGTATCCTTACAGCAAGTAGGCACATTGCAGTACTCCCACGTGAGCTGACTTCCTTTCAGGACATGGCACCAGGGCTTGCTGTCATTGTCAGGATTCCTGCAGCACAGGAAAGAGAAGAGCTCTTTGTATTATCAGATCTGCAGGGGGGTTGTGGAGACCTAAAGGTGGCAGACTGCAACCCCAGTGTATTCTTTTTGATTTTTCTAGAGAGCCCTGAGGGCACATGGAACTTGCATTTATGGGGTCTGATGTCAGAGAAGCAGAGATAGGTCAGGCAGAACAAAATTACTATTGCAAGTGAGCTTCATTCCCAGCAGGAATGTATTTCCTGTGCTTTCTACACCCCATACATACCTGCAGAAATTGTGACTCCCAAGGCCCAGCTGGGAAGCGTCTCTTCTCCAAGCAGTAAATCGCCTGTTGAAAAGGATCCCAGAATTCCACTTCAGACAGGTAGCTCCAGAACTGGTAACACTGTGGCTGCCTCGGTAATCTGTGCCTCTCCCAGATCTGCAGCTGGTGCTTGAAACTTCAACAAGAAAGCTGCACATTAACCCATGGATGGAACCCATCAGTTGTTCCTAAGTGTGATTTCTGTCAAGGCATCTCTCTATTAACCAGACACATCTCAGTCTCTTGGTGTCATACACATTAAAAGCTTACGTATAATTTAACATGAGTCTCAACTTTTCAGGCTACAGAAACAGCACGAGTCTACAGCGAACCCTTACACATGCAGTGAATAACAGAAACTCCAAAGTCCCTTCCCTGTCCCCCTGCACGTACCTTTTGAACAGGAGGGCACACTGCAGTGTTCCCAGGTGTACCTTCCCCCTTCATAGATATAGCACCAAGGTTTGGAGTCCTCATCTGGGTTTCTGAAAGAGTTATGGTATTATGCATCGTTACAAAGCTGTTGTCAGTGGCCCCATGTCTGCCATCTCGTTTGGTAGCTTCATCCTGCTCTGCAGCAAAGACATGGACTGACCCACCAGAAGTGTCTGGATTCCTGTTTTAACTGTGGAGCACATGGAGGTGAAGATGAGATGGCCAGTGGCTAGCAGGGGTGGACAGCATGTTTGTGCAGTTCAGTTCCATGTGCACAAAGCACGATATTTTTGCAGTTTTGACTGGGATCTGGAACTGTGGGAAACTGAATCACAAATGGAGTTTTAGGCACTGAGAAGGGACAAGGGAAAGACTGTGGGATGAGAGATATCTGCATCTTTTAGCCTGTCATAAGCATCCAGTCTAGACAGATCTGAAGTTCAGATATGCCTCCAGAAGCTGCAACTGCTGCTCGTGTGCTGGGCCATATCTGCACCTGCTTGGTATCAGACTCCAGCAAACAGCTGCTCCTTTGCTCCAAGCTCTGATTCCTCTCACCTGTGTGCCATCAGCCCCTCACCTGCAGTAGTTGTGATTGCCTAATCCCAGCTCAGCTGCATCTGCTCTTTGGCCATGGTATGTCCAGTCCATCAAGTCTTTGCTATTCCAATTTAAACATTCAGATCCACTCTCTGTCACACTCCATGTACCCCTGTATGTTACTCCAGCATCTCTGTAGCATTTAACTTCAGTATCTGAACAAAAAGGGAACAAAATGTTACTGGAAGGACAACATCCCAACCCTGCTTCCCCAGTCTCTGTTCTGTTTAAACTTGGCTCTCAGATGTCTTGTCTAGTGGGTCAGTGAAAATGCCTTGTCAGGCAGACTGTAAGTGTAAACAAAGGTGTCTTCAGCTACAAAATTTAGAGTTTTATTAAGAGATGCTGAGAACAGCCCAGGTGTCCTTAAAAGTTCTTTGTAGTATTAGTTTTAGAATAAAAATGGCAACTTAATAGAGAGCCTAGAATACAGCAGGAGCTTCTGGGTACCTCATCCTTCTGTACTGCACAGCTCAACCCAATCACTGTTCACAGAACTGATGTGCTGTACTCACCTATTTCACACTGCTTCCCTGAGAAACCCTGGTGGCACTGGCAGATGAAGAGCTGTGGGGAATAATATGCCTGTGAACATTGGCCCCCATTGTAGCATTTATTTCTAGTGCAGGCTGTGGAATAAGCAAAAGCCAGGAAATACTGTTAGGTTTCACAGAAGCAAGAAGCTGGCAATGTATACACATCTTTCCTTTCCTGTCTCCTTTAGCCTGTTCTGGTTTTCCCTCCTACCTGGTACTGCCACGTGCTTACAGCCTTTCTGTGTAGTGCTGACATTCTTCCTTTGTTCCATTCTCTCCACATATGCTGTCAGGAGACTCCCCCAGCCCCTTGCCCACTCCCACTCAGTCCTGCCTGAGTCAGCGGATATTGGTATTTTCATTTCTATCCTATTTCAAGCCAAATTTCCTGTGCAATAACTCCAGCCCTGACTGTGGAGTTGTTCTTTCAGGTGGTTAGATAGACAATCTCTCATCCCTCGCCATTTCCTTCCTCTTTTCCTTTGTCACACTCACCTCTGACAGGCACCGTGTGGCAGCGCCTCTGCCCGCTGTCACACCTACAGTATTCTATCCTGCTCCCTGCCAGCCTCAGCCAGGTCCATCCATGCTGGAACACTTCTCCAGAGGAACTGTCTTTGCAAATGGCTGCAATCGGAGAAAGGAAATCCTCTTTTAGAGATTTGGGGAAAAGACCTGGCTGAGCAAGAGGACTCCCTTCCACTCCCAGGAGAAAAGTATCTGTGAAGGGAGCACCCGTCTAACGGGCTGCCCTTTCCCTTCTCAGACCACCCTGTCCATCCCTCTCTCTCACTGCTGTGTTGCTGGAGTTACTATTCCACTACTGACCAGCCTTGTTTTCTTTGAAGAAGAGCAGTGGGAGAGGAAAACTTCCCTGAGTTGTGGATGGTACTAATGGTCTGGTATTTTGCCTTCTGAATCTCTCATTCAGATAACCACGACAAACAGCTTTCAGGCTCCACTCCTGCAGCATCATTTGCTTCCACCTCCCGTGCTCCTCACACTCCAGGTCACAGGGTTGTAGTTTCCTGGCTTACCTCTGGGTCTGGCTCCCCGTCTGAAACGTGTGAGTAAGCCCTGCCAGCAAAGAAGGTTAATTCTGTGAGTAACTGCTCTCTTAAAATAACTGAGAGAACAAGTGTCTACAGAGAGTCAGTCTTCTTCTTGAGGTCATGTGAACCAGGGAAGCCGTTGCAGAGGCACAAAAATCTCACCTGGCACTGGGTAGTCACGACTGCTCCCACCAGCAGGAGGAGACATGGGAGTCTGCCTTCCATTCTGAGTGTTTTCTACATCAGCTCCAAATCTCAAATTATCTACAGAGACAAAAAATAAGATGTTGAACAAAGGGGTTTTACAGAGTGAATGGAGTTCAAGGTCATAACCTTAAATAAAGGTTTTCAATTATGAAAATTCTTTGTACACACTTTCAACCCTTCCCTTCTCAGCTGTCTGGTCTAGCTGTCCTGGTCTTCCAGAGGCACAAAAATCCTATACAAACCAAGAGGTGGGAGTGAGGTAGAGTAGCAGGCAAGAAGGTGCAATTTAATTCCCAATCTCTAAAATTGCCCTGCAGTTCCAAATATTTGAAACAGTATTCAGGCACTGTCTCCCACACTATCACCTTTTTATCATCTACATTATATGTAGAAAGCTGACCCAATTATTTGAGAAAACTACTACTTCCAGAAATTAGGAGCTCAGACTCTGTTTATGCAAAGCCAGAGAAGGCAGCTGGATAACAGCTGGTGAAATTGGAGTATGACAGATGAGTCAGAAATTGTGATTCATGGCTAATAAAGTGTGTTTGTGGGTTTTTGGTGGTTTTGTCATTGTGTTTGTTTGTTTGTCTAAGATTTGTTCAAAGAAAAAGCAAAAGGAACAAACAGTCCAGTTTCTGAAGCAGATCAGGAGTACAGCAGGACAGTTTAGGCTGTGATTTCTCATCATTAGGCAGTAAAAAGAGGAGACTTAAGTTGTAAGTCACTCTGAACAAAGGAAAAGATTCACAAGAACATCTTCCGAGAACTTTACTTACTCCATGACTTGTCTTTAGGTCACATCTTGGTGATGAAATTCTTGTAATTCAGAGCATCTCTCAGGGGTTTTTGTTAGCCCCCAAAACAAGGCAACACCAGTGAAATTTGAATCTTGGAGTGTTCTGGTGTTGTTGTGGGTCTTTTGTTGTTTGGGGATTTTTATTTTGTTTGTTTGTTTGTTTTGTGGGGGGGTTAATTTGATTGTTTCTGTGGAGAAGAGAGTGGCAATGCTGGCCTAACTGATACTTGGAGGAGGTCCTGGCTGTCTGAAACCAGCAGGAAACTATAGATAGTTTTCAGGGGTAGTAGGAAACATCTTTTAAAGTCTCTATTTAAAAGGCATCTGCCTGTTTAATGTTTACTCAAGTTTATGGTTACAGTCAAGTTTATCTCATCCAGTTGGCTGTACAAGTGGGTTCTAGTCTTACACAGCACGTGCTTATACTGCAGTACAACGCAGTCCAGAGTCTGCCCAAAGTCAGTTTGCATCAGATGCCACATCTTTTCTTCCCCTTATTTCTGCTGTCCCTGTCCAGGCTGTCTCAGCTTACAGTGCTGCCACGTTTCCTGCTCCTCTCCCCCTCTCCATGTGGGATGCCTGTCCATCCACTGATGGCTGCTGTCCCACTGTGCTTGGAAAACTGATAGCAGATGTTGCCAGATGTTTATTTTTAGTTTTGGGAAAGGTACAGCTTAGACCAGTCCTTTGGAATGTTCTGGATGATAAGCCCCATCAAACTGAAACCATATGGCTGTTTGAAAAACACCACTTTGACAGGACTCCAAGCAGAAACCTGCAGTGTGCTTTCTGGCAGGACTCCCCTAACCAGTGTGTGCCTTCTCATCTCAGCCTGTGCTTCCTCTCTGATCGAAAATACTACAGCAACAAGTCAAAGACTGAGATGTGCTGTTCTGACATTTTGATTTGATTTGACACTTTCGAGTACATTAGGACACAAAAGATATACAGTACCCTAAATTTGTCTCTCTTTGCTGAAGAATCAGCAGCAGGAATACTTACAATCCTATCTATTAATTTATTATTAATAACAGCCCTTCTGAGCAGCAAGAGTGTGAGCATTATCTTACCAATGTGGAATAATGCCTAAAAAAGAGATGTAACTTATCAAGGTCGAACAAAAAGTCATTAATCAATGAATCACTTAGGTTGGAAAAGACCTTAAAGATCATAGAGTCCAACCATAAAACCAACACTGCCAAATCCACCATTAAACCATGTCCCTAACTGCCACATCTACAGGTACAGAAATTAAAAGTGGCTCTCCTCCCTCCCACTAACACAGCATGTCCATCCCAAAATGCATTGATTCTGCATCTATAAGGCTAATAGCTTTCCTGCTGATCAACAGCTACCTTGATTTAGTTCAAGCAACAGACTGTAGCTCCTTGCTGCCTTTTCCTGCCTTCTGGAGAAAGTGCTTTTGCATCCCTTTTCTGAGCTGAGCAGATGCATAGCAGACTCGTACTATTTCTCCTTAAAAATATAACAGACAGACCTCTGGTTTGGGGGGAAAGAGTTAAAAAAAACAAAAGAAAAAAAGTAAGATGCTGTAGTCTTTGAAAGCATTGGAGGAAATGGATATTTCAAAATCAGGCTTTGTTTTGGGAATCATTCTCAGTATTCCTGTGGTTTTGGCCACATTTAAAGAGAAGCATGATTAGGGTGAACTGAAGATGACCCACCCTCCTCCTCCTCTTTGTCCCTCCATTATCCTGGTTTGGAACCTGGGGTGAGAGGAACAGTCTGATCTCCTCCCAGGGAGACTAGATAAATTCTTCTTTTTCAGCTAGTTCTCTGGGTCCCCTTACCATCAAGACATTTGTCCATAACTCTTCCTTTGGTTTAAGTTCTTTTGCTAATGTTCTTTGTGCAGGACACTCCTCCTTGCTTAATGGGTCAGAGCCTGAGGCTGTTGGTCCTTTCAAGAAAGCTTCAGCATTCTTGAAACAACTGAAAGTTAGCAGCTTTACCCACATTATGCATCCCTTCAAAAGCTGAAAGCCAATAGCTCAGTTAGGTAACAATCACGGTGATACAGTGGGATTTATTAAATAATAATATTTAATAGTAGTTAATGACTTTGCCGCTGATGTTGAAAACAGGAAATGCACTTTTTAAAACAGGTACAAAGTAGTACCTACCTTTTTGCTTTTTCTCTTCTGTATTCTGGTTATTTCCTTTCCAGACCAGTCTGGTTTTGTGGTTTCTGTGTCTCTGCTCTGATTTCTCTGAACAGCTCCTGTCCTACTTACAGCTCCACTCGAGGGGGTGGAGACTCCCCGGCCGTGCTGTCCACATCCCACCCCTTCCCGAGCATCTGGGGATGGTCCAGGCTGGTGGCCGGAGGGTCGGGAGGGAGCCCGTGCAGGACGCCAGGGAAGCTGCTGCACTCCGAGTAGAGATGTCTGGCAGAGAGGTCCTGACCTGCATGTGGAGCAAAGCACGCCCTGAACAGTGCCATGGGAGAAGAAACAGTCAGGGGAGCTCGTGAGTTAAATGAACAAAATGTCTAAGGAACTTTAGACAGAAACAAAGAACAGCATGTTGGGGACCAGAGGGTTAATTAAATGTTCACTGCTACTGCCCATCCTAGAAAATGAAGATCTACTCAGCAGGGTGTGGTCATGAGGTACTCAGTTATCAAAGTGTGGCAGACAAATCTGAGTTATCGGTTTAAGAGCTGATTTTAGGGCTGGGTTATGAAAACAGTCAGTGATGCAACTGTCAGAGTAATGGATGTGTCCTAACTATTCATAACTGATTCGATAGCAATCAGGTTCCTATAGAATTTGGTGTGAGCACAGACATAAGAGCTGGTGTTCTTATGAGGGACCTCTGTCTTCAGGAACTAGCTGCGTGGAGTCCTTATTTGGGAAGCATGGCAATGGTTATTTTGCATAATGGTAAAGATGGAACACTGGCTACTCTGTATGTTTAGATTTTCTCTGTACGGAAATCTATGCCAAGATTATCACATGTATTTCCCCAAGAGTCACAGTGCTGGTGGTAACATTACTACCACAAATCTGAGTCAAGGGGAGCTGCATTTGACTGTTTCCAGAAGGGACTCCCAGCTGCTGAGAAAAAGATGATCAAACACTGCTGAGTGAGCGGGGGCTAATTTATTTCCTTTTTAAAAACAGCACCCATTTGTTACTGGACTTCTAAGTTAAAGATGCTAACAAACTAATGGCCGTGGGGGGAAGAGCTCAGAAATTATCTCCTGACTTTTCACATCTTTAGGACAGCTATAACTTGTCTCCAGAGCGCTGTGCCATTTGTACTGCTTAACCCACTTAGGGAAAGGCGGCGATAGCAGCGTCTGCTCTCTGAAGCACCATCTGCCGGCTTTCCTCTAATCTGACCGTGTCTCGGGGCGGTTTCGGCAACGACACTGTTCAGTGTCGGTGACCAAGGTGACCCTGCGACACCCCCGCGGGCCGCCTTACCCCGAGGGGCCCCGCAGTGCCCGGCAGGTCTCGGAGCGCACCTTCCCTCCTCGCGGCTGGAGCCCCTCACGGCCGGAGGGAGCGGCACCGGCCCGGCCGGAACGCCCGGAGCGGCCCGGGGGGCGCGGTGGGCAGCGCGGGCACACGGCGCGCCCCAGCCCGGCGGGTTCTGGCGATGTTTTCCCCTCACGATGCCCGCTCCCCTCACGATGCGCGGCCCCGCGCGGGCGGGCGGGCGCGCGCTCGGCCGGAGCCGGAAGCGCGGCGCGCGCAGGAGCCGGGCCCGCCATGAGCCGCCCGCCCGCGCTGCAGGCTCCGACCTGCGGGCCCTGGGAGATGCGGGAGCGCCTCGGCACCGGCGGCTTCGGCAACGTCGTCCGCTGGCACAACAAGGTAGGCGGCGGGTCGGGCCCGCGGGGCGCGCCCCGGCGCGGGGCCCCCGCGCTCAGCCGGCCCGCGCTGTGTCCCGCAGGAGACCGGCGAGCAGGTGGCCATCAAGCAGTGCCGGCAGGAGCTGAGCCCGCGCAACCGCGACCGCTGGGCGCTGGAGATACAGATCATGAAGAGGTGAGGGGGTCCCGCCGTGCCCGGGGGGCGGGTCCGGCGGGTGCCGAGGGAGGTGCCGGGAGAGGCCCCGGGATCCCTTCCGGGCGGTGCCCGCTCCTCCGCGCACGGACCCGGCCTGCGCCTCCCACGCCCGCGGTCGCGGTGCCGCCTTTGCGAGGCTCGTTGCGGTACCTCCCGGGCAGATCTGCTGTGCGGGAACGCACTGTCTGCGCACGAAATGCAGTGAGTCAGGGTGAGCCTAGGACCGTGAAGGATGGGTGAATTGCAGACCTTTAGAACCCACCAGTTCAGTTTCTAAAAGGGTTGGTGACCATGTAGGACTTGGAATGATGACCATGAGCATGTGAAACTGTGTAGGAGTTGCAGCACATCACGTGTGCTTGCCTTATTTTCATTCCTCAGGCTCAACCATCCCAATGTGGTGGCTGCCCGTGATGTCCCTGAAGGGATGCAGAAGCTTGCACCAAATGACTTGCCCTTGCTGGCCATGGAGTACTGCCAGGGTGGAGACCTCCGCAAGGTGAGGGCCCCGGGAAGGTGACCGAGGGCTGGATCAGCTTCTCATCTCATCCCAGGTGTTCTGTTCAAGTTTTCCCGTAAAATCTTTGTTTTCACATCCTGATGCTTCGTAGTCATGGCATCAACAGATTCCTCAAAGTGATTAACTCCTGTCTGTCAGAGGGAAAAATAACACAGGATAATTCTAATCCTAAAGTTTTTTTAACCCTTGCTGTAATCTGCCTGTAGATAACAGCCAGAGCTTAGACCTGAGGTTTGAGCTGATACTGCCACATGCAGGGGAAATGGCTGAGAAAGGTGGAACAAGTAGAAGGATGAGAATGGGATGACCCTGACTTCTCTCACCCACTCTGTTATCCTCCCATGCCATTAGGCCAAGGCCTGAAGCTGTAATTGCTGCTACCAGAGGTCACAGACCATAGAATTTTGTGCCTCTAGAGAATTTGATTGCTGTTACTTAGACTTCTTGCATCCCTGAGAATTTGTGGGACTGTGAGCCTCGCTCAGGGTAGAGGAGGGAAAGCCTACATTCTGTGTTGTCTACTTGCAGTACCTGAATCAGCTGGAGAATTGCTGTGGCTTGCGGGAGGAAGCCATTCTCATCTTGCTGTCTGATATTGGTAAGTGGCTGCAGTGCCTCCACTGTCTGAACTAGTGCTGTGACCTTAATAACTACAGCAGTGACCTTAATAACTGCATCTTAGTCTGACCTTTTATGATCATCTACCAAAGCTTTTGGCAGTCTGTGGAGGTCCCTGCTGACTTGAAACTAGCCAGCATTATTACAGTTCACAAGAAGGGTGGGAGGGAACACCCAGGGAGAAAACTCTGCTTGTGTCCAGAGGTGTTTGATGCTGACTTTCCTCTTGCACTTGCGTGTTTCATTGTACAAGATTTGACCCAAAAGCCATGCTTATAGTCAGTAGAACTGAATCCTTACCAAGCTCCTGCTAGGTACTGTTAATTATGCTCTTAGAAGTGGCTTTTTCTGTGTCTCAGCTTCTGCTCTCAGGTACCTTCATGAGAACAGGATCATCCACAGAGACTTGAAACCAGAGAACATTGTGCTGCAGCAAGGAGAGCAGAGGGTAAGCAGAAACTGGGTGTCTCTACCTGCACACACAAGTAAGTGTAAGAGGAGGTGCATGTGGTCCCTCTGCAGAGCACTCCACCTCCACCCAGGGTGACAGCTGTGCCAGATGAACAGTGTTCTGTGTGCAGCTGAGATGAGAGATTGTATTAGGCACCTGTTAACACCTGACATTTTGACTTTCAACTATTAAGCAGAGAATCATAGTGATGGACCAAGGATCGAAAAGAGCTGGAGACATAACTGCTAAATGTGTGCCAAGCCCCTGACAGCTTTACATATGTTGCAGTTTTAGGAATCTCCCATTTCTCCTTCCCTCTCTTCCTTGGCACCTTTCCTGCATACCTTTGAAGAGCTGAACCTTTTCTTTCTGCTGTATGATGTGCTTTTAACAGGACTTCAGTCTAGTGTTCTTGTTCTCTGTTGTGTGTTTCAGTTAATACACAAAATCATTGACCTGGGTTATGCTAAGGAACTGGATCAGGGTAGCCTGTGCACATCCTTTGTTGGGACTCTGCAGTACTTGGTAAGGAAGGAATTCAGCTAGAAGAGCAGCTCCTGCTTTTCAGTGGGGTAGAATTAACTGTTATCCAGCTTTGGGCTGGGATGAGGTACTTGTGCTGGCATGGGGTGCATTTGGGGTGCTGCAGCGAGCAGAGGTGACCCTTTTTTTGCTGACACTGTGTTTTCAGTGTCTGCCAGCTCTGTCTGTTACAAATCAGGAGCAGGAGGGCCAGTGACCTGTGTGGATCACTCTGGGAGGGTCTCGAAGCTCGTGTTCCATAACATCTTTAATCTTGTGTAGGAACATTAGTAAGCTGTTAAGGGGCAGAGAGAGCCAAGAGATGGGTGGCTTTGTCTCACGTGTGTAACTGTCTCAGGCTCCAGAGCTGCTGGAACAGCAGAAGTACACGGTGACAGTGGATTACTGGAGCTTTGGCACACTGGCCTTTGAGTGCATTACAGGCTTCCGACCGTTCCTGCCCAACTGGCAGCCAGTGCAGTGGTGAGTGAGCCGGGGCTGGTGGCAGGAGGGGACCCCACGTGTCTGTCCTGTTTACAGTCCCTTGATTCTTAGGACAACATCCCTGTGTTCCTTGCCCTTATGGAGACTGACTCCCTTCACAGGAGTTTGACCTACCTGAGCAAGTTCAGCATTCCTGATACTTGCCCTCTGGGAATAAGGTCTGACTCCTGCAGGGCAGGTAACAGAAAGCAAAGTGGCATCTGCATTATATCTGTCAAGAGTAGCTTTAAGCTTTAAGAGCCTACTGTCGTGCAGGCTGGGAGAGGCAGGTGATTGTTTCACCATTGTACTTGCTTGAATTCCTCAGGCACACAAAAGTGCGTCAGAAGAGTGAGCTGGATATTGTTGTTTCAGAAGACTTATCTGGAGAAGTCAAGTTTTCCAGCAGCTTACCCTGCCCAAACAATCTAAACAGGTGTGCACTGGAAATTGCCCTGCTGGGATAAACTGAGTCTTCTGCAGAAGGACCAGGTTTACATTATACACTGTGTTGATCTGTGGATAAACGGAGTGCATGACACAGACAGTACTTGTGTCACTTGTCAGACTTGTGTAGTTGTGAGTCTTGGTTTCTGCCTTCTAAACACTGCACTTGTGATGGGGAGTGTTGGGGGGATCGGGGTGGGGGCAGTTGTTTGTCAGTCCTCCTGCAGAGAACAGGCCATGTGGTGACTGCAAATGCACTTTTACTTCTTGTGATCCCCTTCTGTTCTTGGTTGTTCAGTGTTTTGTCTGCGAGGTTGGAGAAATGGCTGCAACTCATGTTAATGTGGCACCCACGTCAGAGAGGGACAGATCCTACATATGGACCCTACGGGTGTTTCAAAGCCCTGGATGACATTTTGAACTTGAAGGTGAGCAATGGCTCTGTATTATCCTGAAAAGTTTTCCAGTGAGCAGTTGCCTGTAGCCCATGAGAGAAGGTGCTTGAGTCAGAGGCCTAGGAGAAGGAGTTGCACAGAAGCTCATGGAGCTGTCTCCTGACAGTTAGTGAAGGGACTTTCCTCTTGCTTCTCTGAGGACAAATACTCCTTGAGCTTGTTGGGAGTAGCAAATAGCTTCTGTGTGTGCTTAGTTCCATGTTCTGGTAGAGGATTCTGCAGCTGAAGCTGTTTAATTGCCACGTGGCCTCCCCTCCACTCGATGGAGGACGAGGACTTTGGCATAATGTTATGAAGTAGCTGCAGAGTGACTTCCTGAGCCCACCAAGTGCTTTGAACAGTTTATTGGTGACCAGTTTCTCAGTCCTGCCATCTCTGCTCAAACATGACCAGTGTTTCTTCAGCCTTTCTCATGTCACGCTGCTCTTGTAGTTGCTTCATGTTTTGAACATGGTTACGGGAACTGTGCACACCTACCCTGTGACAGAGGAGGAGACTCTGGAGAGTGTGAAGGCCAGGATCCAGGCAGACACAGGAATCCCAGAACAGGACCAGGAGCTACTGCAGGAAGCAGGACTTGAATTGTTTTCTCAGAAGTTGGTCACTAAACATATAGCTGATAGCAAGGTGAGTCTGGGTACTCCTTTTCTTGTTGTTGAGTGAATCAGCAGGCACTGCTCTCCCTTTGGGATCACAGCACTCCCTGCTGTTGTGCAGGCTTTTGTCACAGTAACCACACAGCCCTTGCCTCTGGTGTTCTCTGTGTGGCTGAGGAGGAATGTTCTGGTTATGGGGTTAACGAGGCTTGGCTTTCTGAGGGAACTCAGTCGGGTCTTTTTTCTTCTGCAGGTGAATGATGCTGCAGCTGCAGACACAGACCTCCTGTTCCTCTTTGACAACAAGAAAGTTTCCTACGAGGCTCAGGTGGCCTTGCGTCCTCACCCAGAAAGTGTCGACTGCATCCGTAAGGACTTTCTCTGACGTGAACGCGGGAGGGGGGGGCCTGTGTTCTGTGCTCTGTGCCACATACAAACAGCAGACAGAGCTTTTGCATACTGGGGACTGAAGCAGCAGTAAAGTGGACTGGCATAGCATTCATTCAGTTTGTCAGAATAGCTGAGAAAAGGAAGTGTTTGATTTTGGTACGGGGGGAACTGAGTAGGGCTTGGCCAGCTCTGGGCTTGGCAGGAGGTAACAGTGTTTGAGGCTGCTTTGTCATGTGATAACACCACTCTGAGGCTGCACGTTGACATGGACGTTTGTCTTTCCCTCCCTCCCCCCCTCTGTCTGTAGTTCAGGATCCCAAGAAGAACCTGCACTTCTTCCAGCTGCGCAAGGTGTGGGGTCAGATCTGGCACACGATCCGGGTGCTGAAGGAGGACTGTAACCGGCTGCAGCAGGGGCAGCGCGCGGCCATGTACGGGGCAGCTGCTCTGGGGCACTTCTCTGTGCCCTGGGACACTTCTCTGTGCTCTGGGGCACTTCTCTGTGCTCTGGGGCACTTCTGTCTGTGCCCTGGGGAGAGGGAAGGGGTGGGAATGGGGCCCTGCTGGAATGGGAAGCCCCTGAGTGGAGCTGTAAATTATTCCTGAAAAGCTGGGAGTTGGCCCTCTGGCCCAGCTGCCTTTGTCCTCAGTCCTCAGTGAAGCTGTGCTGTGCTGGAAGTGCATTCCCAGTCTGGGAGGCTGACAGCACCTTCCTGTCCCTGCAGGATGAATCTGCTGCGTTACAACAGCACCCTCTCCAAGATGAAGAATTCTATGGCCTCCCTTTCCCAGCAGCTGAAAGCAAAGCTGGACTTCTTTAAAACAAGCATCCAGATCGATCTGGAAAAGTATAAAGAGCAGATTGAATTTGGAATTAGTGAGTATAGCATCTGGAAAACGTGCCTTTTCTTCCCACAAAGTACCTACCTCTTCCTCTGTGAACCTGAGAAATCCAATGTCTCTTCTTTCATTCCTGTAGCTTCTGAGAAGCTGCTGTTTGCCTGGAAAGAGATGGAACAAGCTGTGGAACTTTGTGGGCGGGTATGTTTCTAAATAACTGCTTATCCTAAAGAAAAAGAGGCTTGTTTTTATTATCTTTCCCCCCCCCCTTTTTCTCCTCATTGTTCCCCCTTAAACAGAAACTTCTCGTGTCTGGACTGATTCCAGATTTCACATTGCCTTGGTTTGGGTGGCACCATTTTTGTCCATTACTAGTATTTCATGAAGCTCACTCTGTTGGAGGAGGCAGGGGGCAGAATGTCTGAACAAGCAGCAGCTTCTGCTTGTGAATGGGTTCAAGTGAAAAGCAGGATTTGGGGTGCCAGGAGTTGATGTGGTTATGTGCTGAAGGCAAAGGGGAAAAGTGGTAATGGATAGGATGAGAGTAGCCAAGGAAAAGGGAGAAAGATGGCCTGGGAACTAGCAGCACATCTACTACAAAGTCTGACCCTTAATTGCTCTTTGTCACAGGCTGAATTTTTCACCAAAAAATTCTTGGAAGTTGTCTTATCCATGAGCACAAACCTAATTTCTTTGAAGTGACTTCTGTTCTCCCTTGTCTTTGGCCAAGGCTGCTGTTTGCATCCTGCTGATGTGTTTGGAAATGTGAACAAGAAGGGAAGAGCCACTGTGAGTGGTCGTGTCTCTGAGTATGATAGTTTGTTGCTGATGCTCTGCCCTGCTTTCAGGAGGATGATGTGGATCAGCTGGTGAAGAGGATGATGGCCCTGCAGACAGACATTGTGGACCTGCAGAGAAGCCCACTAGGTCGTAAACAAGGAGGAACACTGGAGGATTTGTGAGTTGAACTACCTTGAACTTCAGATGCAGGAGTATTTCTAGCTAAGCTGACCCAGCACAGGACAATGAAAGGGCTCTTTGCCCAAATTATGGGGCACTGGGAGGACTTCAACACTAAAGGCAGTTTTTGACTCATCTGCCATCAGTCTGAAATGGCAGACTGGCATAGAAAAGATTCAGCTTCTCAAACTATTTGTTCCTTATTTTGGTTCTTGAGAAGTCATTTGTTTTCTCTGCCTTTCTCTTCTAGAGAAGAACAAGCCCGAGAGCTGTACCGGAGACTGAGAGAGAAGCCAAGAGGTAAAAGACATTTTAGCTCAAGGTCAGCTTGCTTTGTGGGGATGGTGACTTTGGAGATGTAGCAATGACCCCTGAGGAAAATTCCTGTGCATTCTAGGCCTGCCCACACATTAGGTGCACATGGACTTACCTTCTTTTGGAGAGAGGAGTCAGGGAGTCAGTTTTACACTAGGCCAGCCTTGCTTTCTTGGCACCTTCTGAGCTCTCCCTGAACCTCCTCTGGAGCTCTGCTCAGAGCAGGCTGTTGCCACAAGCATCTGCTGCTCCTTCTGTGTAGGGTGAGAGACGTGGCTTTCCTTGAGCAGCTGTCCAGGCCCAGCTCTGCTTTCCAGTTCTTAAACCTTTAAAAAGGTGGCTAAAATCCAGTGCAGTGCATCCCACTCAAACTTGCATGCCCTGAACTTGGGGTGTTTCAGGGTTGAAGCAGCAGTGGAAACAAGCCACAAAGAATCTTCTCCCTCTATCCTCTAGCCTTTCTTTCTGTGTGACACTCTGGGTCTCGTTCCAGATCAGAGGACGAGCGGTGACAGCCAGGAAATAGTGCGGCTGCTGCTCCAGGCAATCCAGACCTTCGAGAAGAAAGTTCGAGTCATTTATGCTCAGCTCAGGTGAGCTTTGCAGATTTTACTGAGGGTTGAGAGAAAGCATTTTCTCCTTCAGCAGGAGAATGTTTAAAACCCAGTGCACACAGGGAATAAGTAACTTCAGAAATGTTTCCCTGCTGCAGTGGCCCATGTGTGACCTGATCCATTTTTACTTTTTTAATAGTAAAACTGTAGTTTGCAAGCAGAAGGCACTGGAATTGTTCCCCAGAGTGGAGAAGGTGATGGATCTGATGCGTGAAGATGAGGAAACCGTTGTTAGGCTTCAGGAGAAACGGCAAAAAGAATTGTGGAACTTGCTGAAAATTGCTTGTGTAAGTAAAATAAAAACTCCACTTTAATTTAAAAATATGGTTTGTAGCACAGGTTACTGAAATAATAGTAAATGGAGTAAGTCCTATGGTTCTTGCCTTTGTTATTTTGAATTAGTGTTAGAGCCAAGTTCCAGGTTGTCTCATACTCCTGTCTGCTGAAAACTAGTGGAAATAGTTGCAACCTGAATATTCTGTGCTTTCTCAGAGTAAAGTCCGTGGTCCTGTCACTGGCAGCCCAGAGAGCATGAACACATCTCGTCTTGGTGGCCCTGGTCAGCTGCTGCTGCAGGTCCCTTCTGAAACCTACCATTTATCAGACTCTGTAAGAAAAAGGTGAGGCAAGTCTGGAGTATGAATTATGAATTATGACCTGACTGCCTTCAGTGTCTGCAGCATACCTGCCAGAAATATTTCAGAGGTAGAAGCAGTATCTCTTTAAACTGCCATAGAAAATAATAGTGTAATAATTGTCCCTTTCAGTGAGGAGCTACTGCTGGAATCACAGAAACTTTGTAGCCAGCTAGAAAATGTGATGTATGACACAATGAAGGATCAGGAGCAGAGCTTCATGGTAATGTATTCATTCTTCTAGAAACAGACTGGGCAAGCTCATGGAAATCTGGGATTTACTCTTGGACAAAGAGAACAGGAGCTGTGCAGACAGGGAGCACCTGCTCCCCCAGGAGCTGCTGCCTGACACTCTGTGGCTGCTGAGAAGGAGAGCCCTGCACTGGGGACTGGTGGGGTGAACAATAAAGGAGGGGGGAGTTGCTTGGCTGTTGTATCAAAATACTGCAAAACTGCACTCTTAAATCTGGTGGCAATACAGGGGGGGCAGGGATGCAGAATATTAAAATGAGAGCAAAATAGTAGAGAAATAAATAATTTAAGGGCTTCCTTTACAGCAGTCACATGGCTTATCTTGAAACTCTACTGCCCAACTTGTTCACAGTAATTTTTTTTAATTCTTTTAACTTGCTTCTCCTTTACTCTAAAGAAAGCTCAACTGTAAGCTGGTGTTGACCTTTGCAGTTCTGTTTATTCTCCAGGCTCTAGACTGGAGCTGGCTGCAGCTTCAGGTGGAAGAAACCAACAGTCCAGAACAAACCCAGATGTGAAGTCACGTCAGTCGCCCCTGAAGACGCTGCTTTGGGAAGCCAGGTGTGAAAAGCTGCTGCCCCCGAGAAGGGAAGATCAACTGCCTCCTTCTCCTGTCACCTGCTGCTCCTGTGACACACACACAGCCTAGCTTTAGTATCCACCTCCCAGACACTCTGCTCACAAAGCTACAGTAGGAAATGCCTGTTCTAACTGCCTGGAAAACGTTCTTAATTGTGCCTTATGACAGCAGATAATTCTTATTCTCTGTCCTGATATATCTTCCCCTAGGCATCACCTGTGGCTGTTCTACTGCATTTTAGGCTTTCTGATGGAACAATGGACAATGTTTGCCCAGGCACTGGTAGATGTCACCTTTGTAATATACTTGAACTGTGAACCTCATTTCTTAACTCTGCTGATTTGCACTTTTTTTTCTTTAAGTGTAATGGTTGTACTTACCTAATACTTGTTTCCTATATGGGAACGAAATTATCTAAAACATGTAAACTTTTGGTTTGCTCTTTTTGATACCATCAATAACATTTTAATGGAAAAAGCTGCTTTCACTGTGCAGGTCTCTAAAACATGAGAGGTGTAAGGATGTTATCCTGGAAACCCCAGGAGAAGGAAATGCTCAGTGTACAGGTACAGTGTGACAAAGCATTTGCAGGTTATCTATTAGCCATGCTTAAAGTTGCATCAAAAGAAAAAAAAAAGAACAGCCAGATGGAACACAGCTTTTCTGAACCTGGCTAAGAGTCAAGACACACCAACCCTCTGTTCCGACTGGGACCAATTTATTTCATTCCGATGTAAACCCAAATTTCCACTACAGCACAGCGACCACCTTTTAGAAAAGGCTGTGGAGTACAGGACATGCAAAATGCAATACAATAAGGGGGAGAGGTTGGATTTTCTTCTGTTTTTTAGGAACAGATTTAAAATACAGGAAACTGAAATGTGGCACAAACATCACAACTTCCATGCACGCCTTCAAGTGTCTTCCTCTGTTGTGCTGGCACTCTCTGGACCTTCAGCAGTGGGTTAAAGTCGTTCTTTGGAAGAGCAGAAAGTTCACACTTCTTCAAATTTCAGAGTATATTAAGGCCGAAACACACTGGGTATACTTTTCCTTCACCTTCCAGAGCACCACCAGTTGTTTTACTTACAGCTGTGTTAAGCTTCCAGCTCAAATCCCAGCCCAACTTTGTGACCTCCAGCATTGAAATTCTTGCCATCAATCAAGCCTGAGACGGTCAGTTTAACACCTGTGAAAGCAAGTCATGAGAGCCACCCCACTGTGAGAGCCTGGGCAGTGCCCTCCCTCAGCAGCCGAGCTCAGCACTGCCTCTACCCCAGTTCCTAAAGCAACCCTTTCCTTCTGTGAGTCTGTGCAAAACTGAGCTCATCTGTGCCCCTGTCCTGTTCTAAAGATGACAGGAAATCCCCCCCAGTGTAGCACTCAGTACTGTTTGCTGTGCCAGTGAGACTTACGTACCGGGTCGGAGGACATGAGTGTAGCCGAGTCCAATGAGGCTGGCATTGTTCACTTTGCCCTACAGGGAAAAGGAAAGCACAGGAGTTATACACTGTGCATAAATATTCAGCATTGTCCCAGCCCTGAGAAGGCGGCTTATGCATTAATTCTCTTCAGCTACTTGTAGAGTAACCTCTGTTAGGAGCACATTCCAGTCTTTTCTCAAGAGTTTCCAGCCCAAGCAATCTTTTCCTCAAATGGTGGCCCCATTATGCCCAGATAAAATGCCACCCTGTTCTTCACTGCCCCCAGCACTGTGTCTTCATATCCTTTAAAGAGCTCCTTGCTGCAGTCCCTCAGAGCCAAAGAAGCCTGCCTTGTTCACATCACTCAGGAGTGACTTTTTTTTCATTTAATGAGCAATAAATACATGAATATGCAAACCCCATTTTCTGCATTACTAAGTTTTGAGCTGTTTACAATAGTATTTCTCATCTTTAATTCTGGCTGAATTGTCCTGGAACTGAGTCTTGTTTTGAAACAAAACAAATGCTTGTTTTAACACCAAGAACTGAAGCAGCACTGACTTCATGTGTCAGCTGACTTTCGAGGGTCAGCTCAGGAGAAGGCTGAACTTCCACCACTGTAACTGTAATAGTGGTTTATGTTATGGCTTAGAGAATTAAAACACTACAGCCTTTCAGTACCTTTTGACACACATCTTGCAGGGCTCCATCACACTAATCAGACTATTTCACTGTGGACAAAATTACGGTTTAGATTTATTTTTTTTTCCTAATTTCACAAGTATAACCTGTGAGGTCCCAATTTAAATTTGAACCACAACAAAAGCCACAGTTTGACCTCTACTATACTCGGTAATTAGTCAAAGCAACTACTTCATAACACAAATTTTCAGTATTTGTGGGAGCTTGAAACAGTCATTTCTTTAACCAAGTTCTTACCACAAGAGAAGTCTTGTCATCCAGTTGGTACTTTGCAGCAATACCAAAGCGTGTGTTGTTACTGCCAGCAGTCCATGCCAGATTGACTGATGTCTCAACGTTATTATTAACCTTCTGATAAATAGACCCACCAAACTCGGTGCCATCATTCCTGTTTTAACAGAGGCAAGTGTGTCAGGCCTTGCCTTGCTCAGTACCTCTTTAGGTCAGCCCTTCCCCACAATCATCATAGACAAGACTTTCCAACAGCTGAGACCTACATTTTGAGGCTCTGACAGAAAAAATACACCCAGATAACCTGGTTGCTTGTCTCAAGCCAACCTGTGGTAACACATGAAGGGATAAATCCAGGAGACTGATTCAGTTTTGGCAGTGATGAGACTGAGAACATGTTACTGCAGTGCAGTTGTTTAAATACACCATCTTCAGACTCTCAGAGATCTGAATGCCCAGGCTAGAGCTACAATGACAGCTGGACACACTCAAGCACAGCACAACAGAGGCCTCTCTCCTTCACCTTGGGCACTTCTGAGGGACACCAATGGTGGGGAGGGGGAGAAGGTACAGTAGTTTAATTGAAGGCTCTTTTATCTAGTGCCAGAACAGAAGTTAAAAGTTGACAGATTTAAATTCCAAATTAACACTTACAAAGTGCCTCTACGTCACTATCTTACATACACAAACCCCCAAATTACTCTCAGACAAGCTATCAAGGCAGACAAGAGTTGGAAAGGTGCCCTGAAAATGAAAACACTGAATACAAATTATTTGGAAACAAATTAGCATCCCCTTCCATCCACCTGCCTTTGACCTAAGTCCACTAATGCAACTATTCCTACAGTTTGGCTCCTCTGGTAATATTTTCCTAGGCTCAGAGAATACTTACACATTAGTGTGCAGCTGAAAGTCTCCTGACTTATATCCCAAGGCAAAGTTATTTTGTGAAAGCTTATACTTGGCTGTATCAAAAGCCATCTGGTAGCCAGCCAGCCAGCCTTCATAGCCCAGCACTGCCCAGCCATACACGGTTGGCCCAGCGAGGTCAATGTCTATGTTGCAGCCTACATTTATATATTCTCTTTTGTAGGAGGTCTTCAACTTTGCACTCTTCTTCCTGCAGAGAGAAAATGCCATTTTACCCGTGGCAGTGCACAGGGGAGTGTGAGACGTGGTTTATTCAGGTATTTAAGTATTTACCCTGTGTTCGGTACAAATGTAGTGTCAAGAGCCACCTTCAATCCTCCAGCCAACTGCAAAGAAAAACCAAGACACCTGCTCAGAATTCTGCTGAAACATGGTTTGTTACACTCACTACTAGAACTCTGCTTCCTATCTAAAGAGAAAACAAAACACAACCATGTGTTTAAATCCCTCATCCTGCAGCATCTTCAGAGTTCACTGTAAAACATGAATGGCCATACAGGGCAGAGGGCACCACAGAATTTTCACTGTCTTTGGCACCATTACCTTCAGGCATTAAGTGAAAGGCATAAACCTATTAATCTGAAAAAGAACTGTGTGTTTTGAGAGTGCTGTACCCTGCCAACCCTTCGTGTAAGCAGTGCCAAGCTGCAAATGCTCATCTTTCTCTTCAACCTTACAAAATATATTCAATCTCAAGGCAGCCAAACTTAAGTCCCTGTGTATTAAAGCATTTAAAATGATGAGAGCCCTCTTTGTTTTCCCTGCATGACTGCAGCAGTGACAGTTCTACACAGCTCACGGATAACACTTTGGTTCATTCAACCAGCCAAGTAATTCCACAAGGCTGTAACTCCAGGAACTCCATCCCCCTGGATCATTCTGCTGGAATCCAGCACCCTGCACCCCCAGCCTGTGTGTTCTGCCAGGACACATCACTTCTTGCAGTACTCCAGCTAGTTCTGTTCAGCTGTCACTCCCCAGTGCTTCCTGTTCAGCTCCAGACTTTCTCACACCAGCTGCAGAAACGTTTCCAAAGGATCTACTTCCTCTTACCTGATCCTCCACAGCAACTTCTGTTCCCAACGTGTTATCCGTGTTCCACTTCTGGGTGAACGTCAGCCCGTGCTCTTTCATCTTGTATTTGGTCTCTAGACTGCCTGAGGCCTTGCCCGTGTCCGTGTTGGAAGAACCAGTTGCAGTGAAGTCCTGGCAAGAGCATAATATGAGTTTCAGCACTCTTGAGGTTCAATTACATTCAGTTTTTCCACTTGTCCAGCACTCACAACTGCTACCCTCAGGCTTTTTGACAGAATCCTCAAAATCCTCCTCCTCCTCTTCCCAATCCCCACCTAAAATAATTATTTTTGCATCACAAAAGGCTACTGCTTTTGGCATCTCTGTTCTGAGTATTTCTTTTACTGAGGTGTGCTCCTGAAAACCCACTCTCCCCTAGGAAAAGCAATCCTACACCCAACTTACAGTGTCAGATGAACAGCAAAAAGAAGAAAATGTATTTTTCCCACATTTCTCCAAACATCTCGTGTGTTTCTTCGTTGTAATTATTTTTTTCTCCCATGTTTCAGCAGTGAAAGTGTCTTCTGGAGAACTGATGCTTTTCACACTGACTACTGCAACCTAATTGTGGTTCCCCCTCCCCTTTATCCTGATGTCACTGAGACTCTTCATACACCACGGGGATGACTTCAGTACCTTCTCCCTCAACTTCTCACTCATTACTTCAGTCAGGAACTGCACTTCTGAAGCTGAGTCACCCTTTGGAAAGCACCTTAAAATTAGAGACCTTTTCTTCTTCCCAGTATCAGAAAGTAACCTGCCCCCCCCAGCACCCTGAGGTCTCTGTCAGGTGATCCTTCACTGAAGATCAGTGTGTTCTGCAACATGCTGTGTGTGTTCTGGAACATCAGAGCTTCCTGTTATTTAGGGGACTTCAAGTCTCAATAAACATCTCTCCTCCTGGAATAACTCAAGAGTTTCATGCATAACCCAGTATAAAGCAGTGAGTAGGAATATTGCCACAGTAGTAAGCAAGGTGTGGGAATTAGGTTTTAAGAAGCATCTGAGAACAGCCCTCATTTGTTATCCCCATCTCTCAAATATTTTCCTTGAGAAAAGATAAATAACCTGTCATTACATTTCCAAGTTATGTCTCTCTTGAAGTTTAAATACTGAAAA